TCGCTCATCTCATCCTACAAGCCTCCTCTGCTTTCAAGTGAGACCCTTCAGGACATGATTTGAAGATACTGAATGCCTTGATTCAGAGCTAAAAGCATCTTGCTTTTCCCTTGGATGCAGCCCTCAATCCTGGAGGGTCCTGCCCTGGGCACAGCCTGTGTTCAGCACGCTCTGACACGGAGCTGGGATGTGCAGCCAGCCCTCCCAGAGCTGCTGCAGGACAGGGACAGGACTGCAGGGTACACAGCTCAGCTGCCTGTTTCAGCTGGCCCAGGGCTGGCAGCAAGTCTGCAGCCTCAAAGAAAGAAGAAATGCAGCTCCAGTTCTGTTCCCACTGGTAATATCTTGGGAAAAGTGAGCCAAAGCCCAAAGCTGTCACCCCAGCCCTGCAGTTCTGCTTCTCACTTTCAGATTATCTCTGTGAACTGTCAAGAGGATTAAGGAGGCAGAAATCAGCTTCAAAGAACATCAGAACAAAAATATGATCTCATCTGAGGGGCTCTTCCATGCTCTTCCAGCCTCTTTAGATTTCTCATGGTGGGAAAGGGACGAGGCTGATGGGGCTGCTCATCCCTGGGCTGTGGTTGATGGGAATCCCACCCTGGTGCAGCACTTGGACCACCTCTCCTCACTCTGTGTAGCAGCAAGGCAGAGCTCCTGCCCTTCCCTGGAGCTGACCAGCAAGGAGATGCTCCAGCAGGACAAGCTGTGCTTGGATGCATCCCCCTTCTCCCTCTGGAATGGCCTCAGCAGGACTTGTGCTCCCATAAAAAATGTCTGTCTTGCTTCAAATTTGATTTCCAGTCCTCGTGCTCTGGACTCCTGGCAGGACTGCAGTGTGGCTGTGCCTTCATGGTGCTCACATGAGCTTTAAAAGGAGCCAGAACTCCAATTTTCTGTGGGGGCATTTTGTGGGTTTCCTGTGCTCTTGTGAGCACCAGTGCTAAGAAGCAAATGACCCCCTCAGTCCTGTGCTCCTCTTTCACACTGAGGTGGTAAAACACCAGCAGCTGATGGCTCTGGGTGGGGACACACTGTTAAAATACTCACTTTTTAACTGTTCTCTGTTAAAATATTTGTTAAAAACTAGCCCCACTGGAGCAAGCAGGAATAACTGGGGAATCCAGTCTGTTTGCTCAGCCCCTCGTGGGTTCACACACAACATTTTGTGCCTGTTGCACTCAGAGGAGGTGGGACTGATGTTCCTGAAGCAGTTATTTGAGAAGCAGCTCTACCATGGCCATAATTATTTCACAAAATAGAGTAACAGCCCTGCTTTGCATAAAAGATGCTGAAGGATGCTGCTGGCCCCATACAGTGAGGAGGTGCCTCTTTTAACCCTACAGCTGTGGCAGAGCAAACCAGGGCTGGGCAGGAATCCCAGCTTGGAAACCTGGAGGAACTTTTCCAGACACTCTTTGGCAGGATGTGCCCAGCTCTGGTGACCTCAGCACTGGAGGCACACAAGGTGGAGGCAGCAGGACTGCTGTTCCTTGCTCTGATCACTGACTCAGGGGTACAAAACATGCAGCAGATCCTTGGCTGTGACACTGGGGCTGCTGGGGGAACTTGGAGCTGAGGCAGGATTTGAGCCAGGAGCTCTCCCAGCTGACACCCCCAGGACTCTGACTTTGCTGACACTGACAGTATTTCAAATAGCTGAGAGCTGCAAGTCCTGACTCCTGTCTAGACTGGAGCCTGGGGTAGCCCTTTGGGAAGGTGGAATGAATCTTTGCTTGATTTGTCCTTTTTTTCCTCTTTCTCTAAGCCATGTTAAATTTTATATGTGCTGGGAAGGAGATCTGTGTGTATATGTGAGACAGGAAAGGCAATGGGGCATTGGAAAATGTGGGATGTGGGACCTGTCATGGTGGAAAAGATATGGATTCAAGGGTGAATGCTGACCTGGTTTTGTCTGGGATAGTTTTTCCTAGCTGGAACAATGCTGTGTTTTGGATTTAATATAAGAATAAAGTGGATAACATACTGAGGGGACCACTGTCAGGGGGACTGTCTGTATTTTCACACCTCCTGCTCTGTCCCTTGGCACAGGGATCCCAAAAGCTGCAATAAACAAGGGTTTTCCTCACAGGGAGGTGTCCCTTGGTCAGAGGGAAACTGCAGAAGGCAGATGGAAGCAGATGCTGTGTCTGCCTGGCTGTGGCAGCATTTTCCATGGAGCTGCAGTGTGGGCCCAGGCCCGGCCTTTCCCTGCAGGGATTATCCCTCAGAGCTGCCATGGAACTAACAGTTAACAACTCCCAACTATTTCTGCTCCAGCCCTGGGCTACTCTAGATTTCCAACAGGGAGATGGGCGACAGGAGAAGGAGTTATCTTCCTTTTTAATGATGGTCCTTGGGACTCGCAGCTGCAGCCGGAGGCAGAGAAGGCCTCGGGAACAATTAATCCAGGATGAAGCTCCTGAGCTGGGCCTCCCTCAGTGCCTGGGCACAGCTGAGGGGTGGCAGCCACCTCTCCTGTCCCCAGGGTCACACACACACCCCAGGAGTGCCAGGTCCTGCCAGAGCTCACAAACCCCTCCAGGGAGGCTGGAAAAACAGGAGCCGGCACAGGAAATAATGGCCAAGAACAGGGCTTCCGACATGATCTTGTTCTCATTTCGTTGTCAAGCAGCCTGCCAGGAATGAAGGGAAAAATACCATTCCCCTTCCTTTTTTGGCAATAATGGCTTGTAACCTCAGAGGAATCTCCAGCCTTCAGGGGTTGGCTCCACATTTTGTGCCTTCAGCTGGCTCAGCCTCACAAACACTGCACTGAGCACCTGCTCTCCCCTCAAAACATCCACAGAGATGAGCTTTGGGTCTCACCCCTGCCTGGCACTGCCAGGATCTGTGAGTTCCCTCACCTGGAGACAGCTGGTGGCTTTCTCAGCACTGCCCAGACACTGTCACAGCAATTCCCTTCAAAAGGCATGTTTAAATATTGAAGAAAGCCATAGGTGTGCTCTGAAGTCCTTAAGTCCAGAGCAGTTTCCTGGTCCCCAGGGCAGCCTGCTGGCTTCCAACAAATATCCAGGGGAAATGAATGACAGGAAGAGCATGCCCTGAGGACAGATCCATGCTGAGGTATAAATATCTCCATTTCACTGGGCCAAGCAGCTTCCTCAGATCCCAGATCCCAGCAGGAACCTGCAGCTTCAGGATGAGCTGCTGGGACAGAGCCCTGCTTTGGGGTGCACGGGACAAGCCACAGGATTTTCCACCCACTTTTCCTTCCATGGCTTTTCAAGCACAGGAGTCTGAGTAAGCGTTTTTAGAGCAGGGAGGACATGGGACACAATTAGAGTGCACCTGAGAGGGTGATTTTGTGCTGTTTGTCAGGAGAACCTTGGCAAGCAGAAGGACATCCTGCCATTTTTTTAGGATCAGCTCTGTTCCAAGAGCATCCCCCTGCGAGGCATTTCATAACTTGGGATATTTTCTTCAGGAAAGTGCTCAGGCAGTCCCAAAAGATCCACAACATTTCCTGCACGTGCTCCTGCCACAGAGTAATGAAGGGCTGGGTAGGCAGCCAGGGCCCTGAATGTGGACAGAAAATTGAGTTTCCTGGAGTGTGGGACAGGCTGGGTTAACAATGTTGGACCTGGGGCATCTGAGCTGGGTGTAATGGGAAAAGGAAACGGCTCAGCACAAGAACCAGGGTGGATAAAGCAACCAGAGCACCAAGAGAGGAAATAGAAAGGGAGAAAAAAAAATTACTTCAGGAACTAAGAAGTAATGCCAAAAAGCCAATTTCCAATTAGAGGAAAACTTGCTGGGAAAGCAGGATAAGGGTAAAAAGGGACTGTTTTCAACAGGCAGGAAAGTGTCACCCACATGAATCGAGCAGGTGTGTTCACCTGGAGGTGCAGAAGCTGAATTTAGCTGTGTGGGCATAACAGAGTCCTCTGGGAGATGGAAATCACTCCTTGTGTTGGTTCACAATCACTGGCAACACGCTGAGACCCTGAGGCAGAGCTGCCCAGTGAAGATCTGTGTTTTCTGGAGGTGAAAGTTTGCAGCTCCCTTCAAATACCATCAGACAAACTCACTGCCTGTGCAGCATTTGTGTAAGAGGATTCAGAACACCACATTTTAGCTTTTACTAAGAAAATGAAATTAATTAATCCACATGAGTATTTGTGGGGAAGCGAAGGCTGAGCCTATCCAGCACCAGAGGAGTTCATGTCATCCCCTATTCATGGCACTAAAAGTCAGCTCCTTCATCTGAGGAGTCACAATTCCAGCTCAGAAGATGCAAGATGATTCAGTGTTTAGTAATGCATTTGTCAAGTAGATTTGGAAAAAACCCCAGCATTTGGGGGGAATATTCTAACAAAAAATCCCATTATTGGAATGATTCTTCAATAGGTTGCATTCTCTTAACCACAGAGGAGGACCACGCTTCTCTGAAGTTCCTGCTTCCATTTATTCCTGGATCTGAACTCAATGATTCTGGGATGTGGGGGACAGACAGCTCAAAGGGAACAGAAATGAGCAATGGGACATTTTTTACAATAAAACGTGTCCAATGCAGTCACCCAGCTCTGCTAGGAATGTTTCATGGATGTAAGGACAAATGTGTAGGAGGGCAGGAATTACAAAGAATTCTGTCCATGCCTGGGAGGAAGGGAAAGAGACAGGGCTTGAGCATCCTTGGAAAAACACTGTGACAGCAAAACCCTTTAGAATTTGAGAATTTAGTCTTAAAAGGAAAGGATATTTTAGGAAGTCGGTGTATCTGTTACTTGAGACACTGAACTGATGGGACAGCTTGGAAATCCTGGAACTGCACTGGATGGGCAACCTCTGGTTCTCACATCCATATCCCTGAGAATTCAGCTGGCATAAAAATCCACCTGCCATGAAAACCCAGATCTATTTGGTCTGTTCAGTGTCAGAGCTGCTGCTTCCTCCTGGGCCAGTGGAGAGGGGTGGAGAGATTGGAGAGCTCCCACAGCTCCCACAGCCCAACACAATTTAAAAAGCAAAATTCTTACCTTGGACAAAGACATAGACCCTGGCCACAGGTCCCTGGTGCTCGGGGGTGCTGTTGAGGGCACAGCTGAGGTACCCAGTGTCGTTGGCAGTGGCTCTCCTGAGGACGAGCTGGCTGCAGCTCAGCCCGGGGACATCGCGGCAGCCGCTCACGTGCACCCGTGGGTTGTCTTCCCTCAGCTGCCAGCTCACAGACGGGGCTCCCCTGCCAGCACAACACACCCCAAATTACACAGGATTCAGGAAAAATCAGGGCTTCTTTCTGCCCACTCATTCCCAGTGCTCCTACCCTTGTCATTCCCAAATAATTTGTAAAGGTCGTGGAGTGTTTGCACTTCCACCCATCAGAAATTGAGCTGGATCACCCCACGCTGCTCCCCAGATGTTCCTGAAATACTCTGTGGGAACTGCAGCAAGCACCTGGAGAAAAGTTTGATTTCTCTCCTAACACACTGCCTGAACACAAGTTTGTTTTTATAACACTGTATTTTAGCCACTTCAAACATTAGAAAGCATCAGATAAAATTATATGTTTGTTCCAGGCAGAGGATTTTGCATATTTTAACAGCTAAATTAATGTATATTTTCCTGCACTGAGGCTGCATGGAGAGAGGAGGATATTTATGGAATTTTGCATCACCTTTCTTGCTTAATCAGCAGTGACTCAGTCTTGATTTTTGTGAATGGCCTGAAACTAATCAGGTTACAAATCTGGGAATATCTGCTCAGGACACATTTTTTTTCCAATTCCTCTTGTGACAGCAGCCAGAACATCAAGCCAGGAGGGCAGAGGATGCACATTCCACCCACCTGACCCCTCTGCTGTCGGATTTCCCAGCACAACTCATAAAAAATGCAATTCCATGGAGTTCAGGACAAAAAGCAGGGCCTGGGTGTCACCTGCTGCTGGATCCAGAGCTCCCAGCTGACCGAAGCCACAGCTGGATGTGCTGGAAGCATCAGGCTATGGCAGCAGGAGCTCCTGGAGCTCCCTCTGAGGCTCTGGGGATGGACCAGAGCTACCACACAGGACTAAGAGATGAAGAGGATGGTTGTTTTTGTAGCAAACTGGTTTTCAATGTGGAAACTGGTGTGTTGGGGGATATCTCCTGTGGGTTTTCCTGGGGAAGAAGTTGGTGTTGGAGAGAGGGAGCTGTGTGTGTGTTTGCAGAGGAGCCACTCTTCCTCAGAACAGGGGGTTGGCTCTCCCTTCTCACTCTGAGAATTTCCACTGGCATTTTTGGGGCTGAGGAAGGAGTGAGAACCCTGCACTCCCCAGCTTGGTGCTGCCAGGGAGAAATCCAGCCTAGACCCACTGACCCAGGACTGAGATGGCAATGCCCAAAGCGTGGATCTGGGTGAAATTCCCAGTTAGCCAAGAGCTCCTGAGCTCCTGTGGCCTGCAGAGCTGCAATAGATGCAGTCAGAGCACGTCTGCCAGGACATCCAGTGACATTTCCACAAACATCCTCTTGGCCCTCGATCCTGCCCGTCCCTCTGTCGCCTTCCTGGAGAGGAGGCAGACACGGAGCTGGGCTCTTGAGGTTATTCCCAGCACGAGGCTGAAGGAGAGCACTGGGAAAAGTGGGAATATCCTCTCTGCTGAGCAGCCTCGCCCTTGTTCTTGGATGCTCTGGTGGCTTGGACAGCCCCACCCCACGTCAGAGCAGCTTCCCGTTGTCCTTCCGAGCAGCCAGAGCTCTGTCCCCACCCGACCAACGTCACTGGTGACTCCAGACTGGGATTGCCAGCCTGGAATAGGGAACAGAGCCAGTTCCCATGGAGACACAGCTCCCAGCACGTCACCACGTCCCTGTCCCTGTCACCCACACCTTCTGGGGTCCATCCTGCTCTGCTGGTTCTGCAGGGCACACTGGCATTTCACACCTGTGCTTCCTTAAATCTCTTCCCCCTCCATACACCATCCTGCTGGAAGCTGGAGCCTTTGGCTGTTGCTTTGGGATTTCCACACTTCTGCCAGTGGCAGCAGCAGCTTTGGCCCCACTACCACAAACCAGGAAATCTTGGCCAAGAAAAAATCCTGGAGCTGACGGGAGGATGGACATTCCCAGAGCCCCGCTGGGCTGCTGCCCTGTGCTGTGCCCCACAGTGCCCCAATGCCCCTGGAAGCACAAAGAATTCCTGAGCTCCCCTGGGTCAGGAACCAAGCCCTGAGTGTGGCAGAGGAGGCAGGAGGGCAGACACCCCCAGAGGGGCTGATGCAGGGAGTCTTGCATTCAGAAAACAAACTTTCCTTCTCTTCCCAGGTTTTGAATCACCTGAGCCAAGGAGCTGAAGTGTTCCAGGACCACGTTACATCCCATGCTCACATCCTTTTGTGTTTCTCAGATCTGTCATGGGAATTGCTTTGCATCCATAAAGCCTCGTGGGACTGAAGTGCCCGTGACTCCTTCAATTATTTATTCATCTGGTGATAGGAGAAAAGCAGGGTGCTCCTCCAGGTGACAAAGGTGGGGGATGGAGAACTGCTGGGAAATGTTGATTTAATTGGCCTGGGGCACCCAGGGACTTTGAGTCTACACAGGTTTTATGGAGAGCATCATCAAGATGTTAAAGGACTGCTCAGACTTTATTGCCGTCATGTTTGCTGTTTGCCAAGCTAAAAATACCACTGGAAGGTTGTTCTGACCTCGTAAGCCACATGGCAAGCTGGAGGGATTTGGAAAAAAGCTGCCTTGAACTCCAGAAGACATCCCAAATTTACACAGTCTGAGCCCATTCACCTTTCACTATAACAAAGAATTAAATAGTCTGGGACAAAAATCAGGGGGGACGTGTCAGCGTAACCTAAAGCTTAGGTTCACCTTCCCAAGGCTTTTTTTTTACTGTGTTCAGTAACTTCTGTTGCAGGAAGCATCCAGATAATGGCTTCAGCCAAGGGAACCTTACAAGAAGGTGTAAAACCAATGTGTGTGTGTGAGAGAGAGAAACTGTGAGAGTTTGTATTACCTTGAGCCTTTTTTCCTACAACATTGTCAGAGAAAAACCTGAGAAAAAACCTCTGGCAGTTGTGAAGAGTGAAAAAATCCCACTCAGAACAAGTAACACCTCCATCCATCTCAGCCTGAGGCCTTTTGTGGGACCCAGCAGCTGCTGCGTGTTCTGGCACAGCAGAGAGCTCTGGGTTTGCTCCTTCCTCCTGTGCCAGCTGTATCCTCATTCCCAGAGCATCCCCTCCCTGCCATCACCAAAATCCTGCTGCTCCTTGCATGGCTGGTGGCACACATCGTGCCAGGACCGAGGAGCTGCCGTGATTTGCAGCAGCAGCACTTTGGTTTTTCACAAGTCCTGGCTAAATCTGATTTAAAGAAGGTGTTGTGTTTAAACAGGCTGGGTCTTTGAATGCACACACAGTGACTGCTGCTTATTTAAGTGTCTGTGATGGGCAAGGTGGAAGTCCTGGTGATCCTGTTTGTTGTTTCCTCATGGACAGGGAGCAAAGGAGTGATTTTAGCTGCAGAGGAGCTGAATCTGCCCCTGTTTCAGAGAGGATTTCCAGCCGTGTCCTCGAGCACGGCATGTCCCTCTCTCCCCTGTGCTGACTCAGGGCTTTGCTTGGGCCCCTGAACAACACAACACAAAGAATTTGGCCAAGCTGACCCCAGACTCTCCTCCCTGCTCTGTCACAGCCCATCCAGCTCCCTCCACACAGCCCCAGCTCCCAGCTGGCTCTGTTCTGTCCTGGAGCTGTGCTGGGCCAAACCAACCAACACAAGGACAAAAATCCAGCATGTTTTTTTGAGAAATCCTTACCAGCATTTTATTTTTAGGGTATCTCCTGGTGAGATGACAATTTGGTCCTTGGAAATGCTCAGCTTTGGCTTCTGAAGAAGCTTTTCCTCAGCGAGACCTGACCCAAAAAACAGAAGAAACCATCATTAGTTTAGATGGGTCAGAGCAGCACAATACTCTTTGTTTTGTAAATAGTTCCTAATTTGGGGGCCCACACAGTGCTGCATTTATCCTTGGTCGGGAGATGCCCTCAGTTTGTTTTTGTTTCTTTCATTCCTCTTTCTTTTCTGACACTGAGCACCTGCATTTGTGCCAGTAGTGTTTTGAGCCAGCTTTATTACTGAATTATTGCAGATTTAGGAGAACAGATCTGTGTCAAAGGGATTTTGCACACATATAAAAGTGGAAGGAGTCAGGTCCTTGGGAAAGAATTTGATGGGTGAGCTCATACACTGCATTTTAATTAAAGGGAGGAGAGAAAACAATAATTCTGGAGAGCAGCTCTGTGAAGCACCTGTGATATCAAAACCTGGTGTTTCCCAAATGACCATTCCCAAATGACCATTCCCAAATGCTGCATCTGAACCCCCGGCTCGGTGGGTTGGGGTCATTCTCCCAGGGGAATCTGTGATTTTGTCAGGTCTCTGATGACCAGGAGCATTAATAACAGCAGTGACAAAGGTCTCTCTCATCATCTCCTGGCCCAGGAAATGTCTCCTGCCTGTGGAACTGTCCCCAGGGATAATCTGAGTGTTCATCTTCAATGAGACAATGCTCAGAAAGTGAAACCGAGAAGAACCAGAAGTGGAGGTTGGCCAGGCTGGGTGCTTTGTCCAAATTCAAAGGAACATAATCAAGGAGAGGAGAAACCAGGCTCTGATAAGAATCTCCACTTCCAAAGCTCTGACATTAAAGCCGTGTTTTCTTTCCCCTCCTGCTCTTCAAATTTCTCTCCTGTGCCTCGAACTTGATAAGCCAGAAATCCTCACTGGGCTCTCAGCACAGGCATTATTTGCAGCAGGCAGGGAGATAACATATCTGGCAGAAAGAGAAACACTAGGCTTTAACTTTTCAACTGCATGAAGCAGTGATTTTCCTGCCCCCACCTCTGTACTCTCATCTCTGTGCTGCCTGATTTCTGTAATTGCTCTTTGCCTGGCATCGGCGTGGGGAGTGATTCACTCCCACTCTGGAGTCTCTGGCTTCTTCCAGGAGCTCTTGGAGCTCCCTCCAGGAACTCAGCAGAGGCCAAGTCATCTCTTGGCACCACAGAGTCCTTCCAGAGGGGATCCTGCCCAGACACCACGGTGCTGGGCTGCCCCTGGAGCCCCTGACCCTCCCTGGAAGGAGTGCTGCTCACCAGGGACAGATCCAGCCCACTCCCCCTGCCCTGGCACCGCTGCTCCGTCTCCTTTGCAGAATGAGAAGTTGGAGTCTGGCCAACCCCAGCTCTCTCCAGTGGCTCTGTGGGACATTATTTAGCACCACCAAGCTGCCATTGCATGGAATGCTGGGGCAGCAGAGCAGCTGGGGGCCCCAGCCCCGCAGTTCCCGTTTATTTGGGAAGCGCTGCTGTTCCTCAGCACCCTCAGGATGGCACACGCAGGGAGCAGCGTCCCACTGAGCTGAGAACCGACAGAAAAAGCCCCAAACTCCACAGGAGGAGACACTGCCAGGCAAACCCATCCTCACTCTTGGCTCCAAGTCCCCTCTGGTCTCCAGACTGAGCCAGTTCCCACCGGGAATGGGCTGAGCCTTGGCACGGGTCCTTTCATGGTGCTGAGGTATTTCACAGCCCTCCCAGACTGACTGTGCTGAGCTTTGCAAAAATGCTCCAGGATATGGCCAACACCTTCAAATTTGTCTGTCAAATGCCATTAATTTGCCAGCTGAGGGGGGTTTGCGTCCCTGTGGCTCTCCCAGGATGCTGCTCCTCCCAGGATCTGCTCTGAGCTGTTGATGCAGTGACTTCAGCCAGGACTTAGAGAGTCCTGGGCTTTGAAACAAGATTATTTCTCTCTCCTTGTGCCTTCAGTTGTTCTTAGGGCTTAGGGGGAACTCAGCTGGTGCCTTGAGCTGGGCTTTTGACTCGGGATTGCTCTCCTGAGCAAGTGTGGCACTGTCAGAGGGTCTGGGGGCAGAGCCTGAGCTCTGCTCTGACTGCAGAGTCTTGGGGCTTTTACAACATTTGACACCGTTCTTGCTGAAAGAAAGAAAAGTATTTTTCAATTATTCTGGTTTTGCTTCTGAGTTACTTCTTGCCCAAAGTTTATTTTGGCTTGGGGAGCTGAAGAACAGAATAAGCAAAGGGGAATTTCAGTGCTTTTCTACACCACAGAGGACAGGAGGAGAATTCCTGTGCCACACACACACACATCTGGTCTCTGCTGGCAGGTGACAGAGGGTTTAAATAAACACAGCCACAGGTGAGGAGAAAGGATCTGCTCCACTTTCATATTTGCTGTCTGTGTTTGAGGAGATTCATGCCTTTATGAAGGTGTTAGGATGCTGCAAGGGAAAACCGGGCACATTCCTGGTGGTGCACCCCCTCTTTTTTCCACAGCCCTGCTCCCCAGCCTTTGTCCCTAAACCCAGGAGCCACAACCTGCCCAGGGTGGGGTTGGAGACCTGCTGAAGCTGAAGTGCTCTGATTGCACTGCTCAAATTCCAGTCAATGCCTAAGAGAATGTTCTCCTGTCCTCCCTGTTCAATAATGTTGGTCCTGCTCTAGGGCTACAAGGCACATAAAATTAAAAGCAAGCTGTCGTCACTGTGTCATGACCATGGCAAAGCTCCTTGTGAGAGCCACAAGGAAAGTCCTGGGTGCCAAAGCTGTCCCTGTGGAGCTGAGCCTGCTGCTGGTGCATTTTTCCTGAGATGCCCTGGCATGGTTTGGGGTGAGATGCTGCAGGGACAGTGCAGCTACAAAGGATCTCAGCAGCAAATCCCTTCTGTGAGCCTCGGGGAAGGACAGGATCCTCCTGGGAAAGGACAGCCCTGCTCAGGCTCCTCACATCCCTGCCCTGCTTTGCTTCTTGGCTCCAGCACCTCCAGCCTAAAGAAGGAGCCCCAGGTGAGGACAGCATCTCTGCGCAGAGCTCCTCTGCACCATTTCTGACTCTGGGAGCTCATCCCTACCTCCAGTTCAGACTTTAACATTCTGCTCTCGGCGGTGAAAACCGCAAACACAGCACAGCCACAAATCCTCGGGAGCCAAATGTGAAAGGTTGACTGCTACATTATCCAGGGGAGAAAAATATATTGAAAACTGCTTTTCCTGGGATAATCTGATTTTGCAGCATGGCCAACATTAAACACAGGAGGCTCCCCAGGCAGAGGGTAATGGGTGACCTCCCTCACCTCTCTGTCAGATGGTTTCCAACTCCATCTCGCTTGGCACAGGAGATCCCTCCCACGCACAGCCTGATGCTCCATCCTGGGCCCAGTAGTGAGAGTGGATAAAAAGTATTTTTAATCTCTGCTCCTTATTGTAACAGCCTTCCTCCAGGCATGCTCTGGGCACCGCAGCTCTCCCTGGCAGAGCCTCACCGATGGTTGTGAGCTCTGCTCCGTGCCAGCTCCGGCAGTGTGATCCCTGCTGAAGGATCCAGGGATCCCTTCTGGCCACGGGGAGAGCTGGGGGATCAGAGCCCACCACCTCTGCTCCAGGTGACAGTGGGTAACTGCTGGGCAGGGCAGAGTGCTGTGCTGGCAGAGAAACCAGGTCAGAGCAGGATTGCACGAGGGCTCGGGCACACAACACAGATTTCTGCACGTGGGTGAACTCCAGGGACTGCTGTGGCTGTGAAGTCGCTCCTGTGCAGAGAGCTGGGCCCTGCTGCAGCTCAGGGCCCCTTGGGAGGGACTGGAAGTCAGAGTTTGGAGCTGATTTGAGTCAGGGAAGGAGGGTGACAGATACACAGCGTTTCAAACGGGTTTTGTCATCGCTGAGGATGCTCCTGTGAGCTGTGCTTGCCTGGCAGAGCCTGGGCCAAAAGCTCCAGGAGCCCTCTGGAATCACCAGGGGACACCACACCCCACCCTGGTCACCGGTGAGGGGACACCACCAGTGCCTGGAGTGCTGCAGGGGCTGAGCTGCCCCCTCCCCTCCTCCCAGCAAACCTGGGCAAGGCAGACCCTCCAAACAACTCTGTCCCTGCAGCAGAAATGACCCCAGTAAATGACAATGCCCTCCCCTCCCAGCTGCCAGCACACCTCGCACAGCACAGCGTCAGCACACCTCCAAACGAGCAGGTGCCCCTTTCAAAGGGTGTTTTCATGCTCCTGTCCCCAAGGAAATCTATTTTTGCTGGAATTGGAAAGCTCAGCGATTCGCTGAAAAGCCATGTGCGTTCAAACCGACGGCCTGTAATCATCTTAGGATTTATTTCAAGGTTACCCCCATGAAAAGAGAAGGCACCACAGCACTGGCAGCATTATTGGATCCCAAGCCTTGCAATATTTGGTGTTTTTATTAAGTCTTCAGCTCCTGGAATCAGCTTTCACTTGTTACACTCAAGTGATTTTCTATTATTTTTAAAGGTTTAAAAAGACAGCAGCAAATAACTAAAGAGACCCATCTCCTCCCCTCTTTTTGTTGTGAATTTGGACCTAGGATTTTTGATTCTCCTGGACATTAATGAAATGTTTTGTGCTCTCTATGCACAATGCAAGATCTTCTAGAGGAAATGTTATTGCTACCACTGAGTTTCCCAGCAGAGGGGAAGGGAGGCTCTTGTGGGGAAGGTCTTGACTGTAAGACAGAGAAAAAACTCTGAGTTTTTTGTCTTTTCTGCTGGTTGGTGAACTCTGTGTCGAGGCACTGATGGGAACTGAGTCAGTACAGAGGGCAAGGGCCCCCATGAGTGGCTGCAGGTGGGGAATGTGCGGGTCACAATCGCTTGGGGAAAACTTCCCCTCTAGACCTGACGCAGTTTGAGCTCCTCTCTCCATTTCCTGTGCTCAGGGAGATGCTTCAGCTCAGGTTATTTGCTCTCTCAATTCTCAATGTGTCTATTGAGGATAACAATTTGTCTGTGAAGATTTAAACCCTTCATCTTTTCCTGTGCATCTCCACTGTGCTAAACCACTTTTCCTAGAGGAGGAGGAGGAGGAGAG